CATGAATTAAGTGGTTTTGATTCCATGCGCTGAATGAGGCAAGGATTCTTAGAGGGGGTGGAGCAAGATGCCTTAGCAGGAAAGGGGCAAAATTAGGGTTGCACATGTAGCTTTGCTTCTGGCATCTCCTGTCTTCTAAATGCTATAAAATATTCACCTAGAGGTTTCTTTGTGTGCAACATAAATGTGAAATACAGGAGCAGAGATGTCAAGATTTTGTGAGCTCATTAAGCAAATAACATATTTAACAGCACATTGCACATACAAAATCCATGACTCACCCTACAAACATCTTAGGAGGCCAACTTGGAACACGAAATTCATATGGGGGAACACTGCTGGAGCCTTTTCAGTTCTTTAAAAAATAAAATTTAAACTGGTTACATCTCAGTTAAATGTGTACAACTGCTCATTGGATCCATTCCAGCATTCCTCGCAGTCACTAATGCATAGCACTCACTAACTAATAACATCTGGATAGAGGATAAAAGAAGAATGTCTTGCAAGAGTCTGGGGATGTGTGCAGAAGTGAGGCTGCAGAGAGATTAGCTGACTCAGAAAAGATGGTGCATGTGACTTTCATTAATGGTTTTGGGAAACCACCAGTTCCTATAGTTCAAGATATTTCTATAAAGGAAGTAGAGAAAAGGAAAAGATGCTTTCAATTTCGCGGCTGTAGGGCTGCTATCACACTTGGGCAAGTCTGAGGAAACCAAGTAGTGTGTCTCCTTGCAGAATAATATTCCACATACAGGGGCCTTGCTCTATGCTTTTTATGCGGGCAGATTTTCAGGGGGCTTGACAGCAATTTTGCTAGGGCAAAGAAGTATAGATTATATTGCCTAAGAATGGAAAAGACTTTCTGTATTAAGTCATTAAATGATAAACCTTAGATGCTCTGGTATTTCTTTATCTGCCTAAGCATGCTGTTTTGTCATCACCAGCATTCAAAACCACTATTAAGTCATTAATTATCTTCAAAGTCATGTTCCTGTGGGACAGCATGATCTGCAAGCCCCAATAAAACAGTTTAGCAGACTAGTTGTTTCCATGCCTGTTCTTGCCAAAGGGCTTTGATTCTGCTGTAGGTGATTAGTGAGAATGCACAAACTCTCCCACAGAACAGATAGGGAAGCATGTGGTTGGGAAATTCACTCAAGACCTGAACGTAAAGCATGGTATTTATTTGAGGGGGACTTTGAACATCTTGCAAGTGTTGGGCGTGTGTCATAAGCCCTTGACTAGAGAGTCTGTGCCTCTCGCTAGCTAATGAGTTACGTTTACTCTAGCAGGAGCAAATTTGAGGCCGGTTACCCAGGTGGACTAATCCAGTTGTCTCCGAGTACCTGGGAGCTGCACACAGTTCTGTTTGTGCCTCACTGTGTGATGTAGCCCCCCTGTGAGAGATGAACTCCTGAGAGATGGTGCCTGTACCCTGCCATGCAGGAGCAGGGTGGGGAAATGGGTGAAACCACAGCCTTTCCTCATGAGCAGCACAGCAAGTTCAGTCCTGGAGTGGCGGAGAGACTGCAAAGCAACACTGAGCACAGGAGTCTATGCCCTTTCCTAGGAGCTTTAGGGACAGTACAGCCCACATTACCACTTGCTGTAGGCTAGGTAATAAAACAGTAGTTCCATATTTATCGTGCAACTTGTTCATAAAAAACTAGTAAGCAGTACTAAAGCCCCACAGGAGAAGCACAGTGGTGCTCCAGGTGAATGCAAGTGATAGACCCAAACCCTGCTTTACTGTAAATATCCTTGCAATAAAAAGTTTACTTCTGCATACAATGCCCTTTAACAATATTTGCTTTAAAAGCAGCATCAAGCAATTTAAAGTATTAATGAGTTCAAAATGAAATCTTCATTACTTGTCAAGGGAGTACTGTGAAACAATAGGATGAAAACCACCTTGAAACCATGCAGAAACTCGGATTGTTTATAGATAGTTGTAGTTTTCCTTTGTTCCTGTGCCTTTGTTCTTTCAGTAGGCAGTTGAACACTGTAACTTTCAGCTTCCTCAGCAGTACAGTACAGTAATGACCTTGGAATGGCCAACTGTACTGAATTTTATAAGGGCAGTTTCCCTTATAAAATATTTCCCATTCCACAGTAATTAGTACAATAATCATTGGCAGGTATCTGGGCTGTTTCCTTATCTTCTACCTGCTGCCTCCTTTCTGAAATACATCGTACTGACGAAGCCAAGACTAAGCTAGTAAATGGACTGGAGTAATCAGCCGGATCAAGGAGCATCTGCACTTGGGCTTTCTGTGAATGCGTCATCTTTCACTTAAACTGACCAGTGCTCTCTTTCCTGGATCACCTGGAGCTGTCTGGGTTTGCAAGTTATGATCCAGATATCAAAGTCATAATTGATTTCCACGTTTTCTGCTGACTGCTTTCAGCCAGGATTTTCACACCAGTATCAACCACCCCTTCAAGATAGAAAGTTTTCTGATTAATGAATAGGTCAAACAACTTGGTATTGCTGACTACGCTGTTCTAAGCAAAAGTTCTCGTGTTTCCTAAAGTTATTTCCTTTGATTCCATTCCTTCTAATAACACATCCAGCATATACAAAACTTGGGAATTAGCTTTGTAGAGCAATCCAATGGACTGAACTCAGATTTAGATAGGGTAACTGGACATTGGCAGCATATCTGGGGTATTTGGGAGTGCCTGGTAATGGTGTGAGGAAGAGTATGAAACAATGTCTTGGTGGTCTTTAATTGAATCAGTTTTTTTGTGATCGAGTCTTAGATTTATTTTTTTTAATGCTGATTTTTCGAGGTATAAATAGGATATAGTTGGGAGAAGCTCCAGGAGATAATATTGTTACATGCGATAGATATGATCACAGCCTGCATCTTGTCAAGGTCACGGTAGATGAGAATTTAAGGCTAAACAGAATCTTCACGATGCATTAGTATGGAAAAGATTAAATTTGCTGATGCTTGTAACCACTTTACTCAGGGATTCATTGGGAAAAACATAAAAGGGCCTGTTTGAAAATCTATCAAATAGTTGAAGAAGGTTGGTATTCTGGTTTCGCCAATGGTAGAAATCATCCTCCCTGCAGATTAGAAAGGTACGAAGAACTTAGACAATAAGAACAAATAGCTTATATTTGCTGCATCTTGCTTTTTTTTTTTCCCCCCTTTGATTTCAAAATGTCAGTACACCACTTTTTGGGTGAAATAACAATACCTTTGAGAGAATAATTACTACTTCATGGAAAGCTTTCTTTGGGACGGGAAAAAGAAAAGTATTGAAAGTAGTGCTCAAAATCAAAACAAATCCCCTGCTGTATATTCTGAAAGAGAGTGATGGAAGAACCAAATAGAGTCGACATTTGCATTTCAGCTCAGTCCTGGGAACCATAAGAATCTTCTACCAGTTGATTATAGCTGCTGGTGGCTGCCAGACTTTGCTGTTCCATTGAAGAAACTTTCTAATATGGAGTCATTGTGAGGAAGCAATAGGCATGAAATGGACATTGCCAAGTCCTCATGTCATTCAGCATGGGATAAAACCAGGACGATTTAGGAAAGAGTTGGAGAGAAGCTGCTTTAATTAATTCTCTTCCCAGCTGCATGGTAAGGCAGTTGAAAAGACACAGGGTAGAAGAAATGTCAGCTTCTGTTATTATTGTCTATGAAACTGATATGTTGTCTTTTTAACTGCATATAATTTGGGGTGTTTCTATGCTTTTTTTGGCCTTTTTTTTTTTACTACATTAAAAGAAGAATTTAATGACAAGGGCATTTGAAAATTTGTTAATGTGTTTCTTTTAAAAAAAGTGTTGTCGTCTCCTACATGAATCTTTTGATACCATGTCCTCCTCCTTCAATTTATTGCATCCCTCAGCTTCTCCCAGAGAAGAAAAAGGTATTAGTGACCACCAAGACTCTCAACGGCTCAAAACATTAAACTTGGTGAAACCAGCTTAAACAGATTGTTACTGGTTGCATTTGAAAACACCAGCTTTTATTTTTGGAAAAGTTCTTGTTCAATTTGAAAGTTTTCCCAGAATAAAACTGCAAAGGACTTAATCTCAGAATTGCAACAATTTTGTTCTTTGTTGCCTGACCCAGATTCTTCCATCATTTCGTCTGGTATTCATGTTTGTTTTTACCATGACATGCATGGCTGCCTGTATCAATTCAGCAACTAAGAAAAAGGAGAGCACTCCTTGCCTTGTACTTACGCAACATGCACTGTGACCTCATTATCAATTTAAAACAAAGATACAAACTGTAACAGATTATTTTCTACTCAAGCCAAATGTATGATTCCGCTTCTCACAGTTCACTCTCAACCTTTTCCCTGGACAGCAGTCTCAGGATAAGTGGTTATGTCGTTAAGGATGATTTCCTAGTAGCATTGGACAACTCACTGTCAACTGTGGTTTACAGAGCCTGCAAGGCCCAACAAACCTGACACGACAGAGCGTATTCTGGAATAATTCCCTTGGATTCACTGTCATTACATACATGGGCACAGAGACTTGTTGAACACATCATGATTACTCTTTTGAGACTTGTTCATGTGATGAAACTTATGGGGAACAAGCCTTTATAATCAGACATTAGCAAACCATTACCAGAACCAAAATTTCCTTTCTTTGGGAACCCATACAAGTAGCAACACTTGAGCTGAAAAACTATGCAAGTGAAAATTACCCGACTGTCGATACAGCTGGCTAACATTTACCTGTGCTACCCTAAAGATGATTGCCAGGGAGGATGTAATGTACCAAAGTAGACATTACAGCGTGGAGCTGTGGGTGCCAATTCGAGACACAGCAGAGCACCAAACAACATAGCCCATCCCTTGTGCCAGCTGGTCTGCCACCACTCCAGCCACAATTCAGTTCTCTAAGCCAGGTCTCAGTTCCCACTGATGCGACAGGATCTTTGCTCATTGCTTTTATTAGCAAGTAGGATTTCAACTTTTAGCACACATTTTCTGATGTACTTTTGTTTTGACTCCTTCAGCTACCAACAGGAGGTCCACAGAAATTTCCTGCCCTCCAAAGTCCATTTCTGAAGTAGAGTTATCAAAAAAGAAGAACATTAAGAAGACTAAAGGTGGAATTAAGGTAGGAGTATCTGTGTTTTGGGGACATCCCATATTGTGAGAGAACTCAAAACAATATAAATATAGGTTTACATATTTATAGTTGGAATTAAAAAATCGAACATTTACAAGTTAATTCTCTGGTAAGCTTTTTTTTTTACACTTCAGGTTGCAGTTTGAAAGTTACTCAGATGACAGTGTTAAAAAGATTTATGCTCATGTACATGGAAAAACAAGTTACACTAAAGTAGAAATTGCTTTCAAAGGATGAAAGGGGAAATGTGGAGGGAATGTCCAACAATAATACATTCAAGTGCATCCAAAGTGCCAATCCTTCCTTATAGCGTATGAACTATTTTGTTTCTAAAACTGGAATTTTGTTCCAGCTCCTCTGAAGTTAAGATGTGTGATGTTCAGGGTTTTACAAAGTTACATATTTTTCCTCATTTAAATATTTTCTAAGGGCAGTTTCTACTCAAAGGAGGAAAGACTAGACATTTAATACTTAAAAATACATCAACCAACCAACACACAAAAAAACAAAGAAGAATTCCACTGTCACCTGTTGCTGCATGGGCAAGTAAGGTTCAGGGAAATGTATTTTGCTTTTGTGTCTCTATGATGAGATTTGTTGCATTATTGTTTCTGCAGCAAGATTCTGTTTAGGACTCTGAACATCCTTATCCTTCCCTCCCTATTCCCAAGCCTTACCGCATTTAAGAGCCCTGCCCTTACAGCAGAGCCTTTTGTTTGAGCTGTAGAGACTGACTGGGATAACAGAGCTATCAAGACAGCTGTTTGGACCTCCTCGAGTATTTTAAGACTGGAAACAGAAGGATCCAGAAACTTCATTCACCTGCAATTCCTGTAACTAACATGAAGTGCAGCTGCATCCTGAAACTTTTCATGTGCCCAAGCTAGCCGAAATAGCCACTTTCAGAGAGAGACCAGACTTCTTTTTTTTCCCTGTCAAATTCAAGTGATGCCACATTTGTCTTATTCAAAATGTTTGGGTTTAAACCATGTAAATATCCCTGTGAAAGAGACAGGAGGAGTACCACTGAAGTTGTATTCTGAATGGTCTGTGCACAAATGTTTTGTAACTTTGCCAGCATCCCCTTTAGTTACAAGTTTACCAAAAAAAAGACAAAAAATCAAAACATATGCAGTGCCATTCACTCACCACCTTTTAAATAACATTGTTTTGCCATAATTTTCTTGCATCTTCCCTGCATTAAGATTTGTATTATTAGCTCTTCAGTGCAGCATATCATTAGAATGGCAAAAAGTGCAATTTAAGGTATGTTCTGAGCAAGAAAAAGATAAGAGAGGGCCCTGACTGTGTTGAGGGAAATAATACAACTAATATTCAGAAAAGAACAGCACAGGAAGTTGGGTAGTATGTGAGAGAGGTATGATCTTGATTTGGCTGCCTTATGAAAGCGTGATGAAAACAGCAAGTCGCCTATTTCACACTGTTCAGCAGTTTGGGGGCAGAAGAGGAAGAAGGGAATAAGCTTTGTCAGTACACCTCTGGGGGAAAGAAATACCCCAACCTAAAATAGGTTATATACCAGGGAAAGGAGATGATGCCTAGCTCCTGCAGCTGCAGTTGTTAACTTTTTCACAGTTCATTAGTTATTTTAAAGATGATTTTTAAAGGTGAGCTCTATGTGAGAGCATAGCCAATAACAGAGATCACATTTTATGATAAAAGTTCTCTGGGTGTTTTCCAGTTTAGTCCATTATTATTGAAGGTATTCTTAAAAGAAGCATTTTGGACTTTCTGATTTTTAATGAGTAATTCACAGAACGAAACTTCATTAGCACTTCTTACACCAGTAACAGCCACACACGGACGTGCTACTTTGGCCTAAATACCCCAAAAGGGTTTAATCCTGTTAGTGCAGAAATTCCACACAGATCAGAACTAGTTGTTTTGGGTTTTTGTTTGGGTTTTTTTTTTGGGGGTGGGGTGGGGGGTGGTGGTGGGAATATTTAGGGGGGTGGGGGTGGGAATATTTAGGGGGGGAAGAAGGGAATAGCGTTACCCTGAGGCACAAAAAGCTAAAAATGTATCAAGTGTCTACCTAGCACAACTCTTATTATTTAATGGTAACTTTTGATATAATGCAAGCTACTTCAACCCAGCTCTTCTGCTATCCGTACCCCTGACTTGCTCATACATTTGACCTTTATTTCCCTAAAGCTGAAAAGCAAAAATTAAATTCAGTCCATTTTCTAATATGGCCAAAACAGCCTACCACTTCAGCAAGAAGCACAGAATAAAATCTAGTTATCAGTTCACCTTTGTCTAAATTCACAGAAAGTAACTTCAGAATTAGTCTTATTCTTATTACTTACTAGTAATGCAGGTAATCATCAGTTGCATTCCTCCCACATAGGTATATGCAACATGGTACAGGCTTTATAAAAACATCCATTCATTCATTTTTAAATCTATTTTCCAAGACTACAGTGCAAATTACGCCCCCTTCTCCTTCCCTCCCATTGTTGCTACAAAATTTGTATTTTATTCCTTCTGATAATAGTTCAGGTGAGGATAGTTTATTAATGGATTCCATCATCATCACCAACCAGCTAAATAATTTAGCTATACAGAATATAAGAGAGGCCACTGCTTTTTTCCCCCAGAATCAGCCCTTAAAAATGAAAGTGCTCAGGAACTTAAAGACTCTACTGGAGTTTAGATATTGGCTTAGATTAACTGCAAACTGCACCTGAGTTGTTTTACTGAATTTGAAAAGATTGCCTTTGAGTAAGCCCAAGTAGTGCTTGGTGCTTTTAAAGCTGCAGGCCAAAAGGAGGAAAAGCCTGCTTAAGACTTGCCTGGAGCACACTGGAAATGATCCAACTCTGCAAGATGGACAAGGAAGTAGGTTAATGTTTATCAAAATATTATGTAAAAAGCCCCAGTCCATTTCAACCTGGGGACAGCCCTTGACCATGTATACTGTGCTCAGTATTTGAGGGTATGCACTGTCTTACGTAATGCTGCTACTAGTACACAAAGACACTTCTCAGAGGTACGAGACTGATTCCCTAGACTTCTCCATATGGCACTGTACAAAGAATTCTGAAAATGGGAAGCCTTTAGGTTGGCTTCAGGCAGGAAACAAACAAACAAAAAAAGAGTATTTCAGAGTCTAAGGAACAGACTGTTATGCCTGTAATTATCTACATAAGGAGGTAATTCACCTTCTATGGTGGACGAACGTAAAGACTTTGCCTGGAGTCAAGAATGCCTCCCATGCCAATACTGAGCAAAGAAGTAGAAAAATAGAGGAGGTATTCTTGATTTACAACCTGCACATCTAGAACTCAATTATTTTAACTTGTCCAGTGATTTCTAGACTATGTAAGATCTGGTTTTTATTCTTTTAGAGAGTTAATGTTCTCTAAATAAAAGCATCAGCAATTAAGTATTTTCCCTTTTAATGTGTCCTTTTTATTCAGATTGAAGTGATGCATGAAGCTAGTCAAGGAGGATCTAGTAGAGTCCTGGTGATGAGTGAAAGCGATGAGAACTTGTCAACAAGGAGGAGGTAAGGCTGCACACATAAGCCAGTATCATGTTTTTGTTCTTAGAATGCGAATAACTGCATTTATAGTACAGTCTCTACAACTTCTTTGAAGTTCACTGAGATTAATAGATAATTAGATATAATCAAGTCACTGAAATGCTTATAGCCATGCATTTATACACAAGGCTATCAGCTGGAAAAACAAGCAAGATTTCTCTTTTGTTTTGCCGGCTTGGGGCTTTTTTTGCAATTGTTTTCCTTAGAAGCATTAGTTACATGCCATGGGAAAATAAGTCATTAGAATAAGCCTTGCATGTATTTACAAAAAAGCAGTATTAAAGATCATCTCATTGTGCTCAGGATATTTGTACTTGACTATATGCCTCTGAAAAGCTTCTGGTTTTTTAAATGCAAGCAATAATCTTTTCTCCCTTTCTGCAAAGTCCTGAGAAAGAGATTATTAATGATGTATTCTAAAACACCAAATACTTAAGTCATTTAGTTTAACAAGAAGTACCAAGCAAACCCAGTTTAATTTAGTTGAACTCCACTGTTTCTAGGCCAAAGGGAGCAATTAAAACAAACAAACAAAACACCACAACAAAACCCACCCTGCAACAAGCCAAACCCCACAATGCTCACTGACTGAATTTCCTTTGTTCTCTTCTTCAGTACGATTTAGGCAATTTATACTTGCGTTATACCTCTCTCACACAGGTATACACTGAAGTTACTTGATGCAAAAGACTACTCTTCTAAAAACACTAGCTTGATACATTATGCTAGACAAATTGGAGACATACAAAAATGCAACTTACTACTATCTGAATTTAATTATACCCTATGAAAATACTATGACTGGTCTCCAAACCATCAGCTAGTTTTCAAAAAGTACAAAGTGTGATCTGAAATAGAACTTATTTAGATAGATACACATCTCTCAGGGAATGATTGCCTAAAGAGAACATACAAATTTGAAAGCTAATATTAACAACAAGTTAAGCTTCTAATATTCAGCAGTTTTAAACAACTTTAGACCTAGAAGCTTGGTAAACAAAATTTTTGAGCTGTCTCCTTTCTTGGGAACACCAATTTTGCCTTTTGTGCCACAAAAGGTTTGGTTCAAGGTAGAATAGGAGGGAAGGTGGGGAATCAGTTTGAAGTCCTCATAAGAGGGGACTCAGAACAGCATTTAAAAGCATCAGAGCTGAGCCTGTCAGTTACAAAGAAAGTAACAAAAGATATTTACCACCTTTGTTGTATTGCTTTGTTTTGTTTTTTTTTTTAAAAGAAATAAGTCTGTTTATTCAAAACAAGTTTTACAAAACAATTATCTTTTTGTGGTACAGAGCAAAGTTTAAGAATAAATATTGAATACTTTGTATAAAAATTAGTAATAACAAAGGGAAACTGATGCAAACCAAACAGGTAAAAACAATTTTAGCATTAAATATGCTGTGCAACAATGTCAAACTCTTAATGAGGAGTGACCATTCAGGCTGATACAGTTTTATTTGTAGAAGTAAAACCTGACAGCCCTGCATTGGAGCACCGAGACTACTGTTAAAAAAGGTTCCAGATAAAGGTGTACAAATCTTAAGTCAGTGTTTAGAACCAGAAAATAAGAAGTTTTCTAGCTTCTCCATTTTTTGAAAGGAGTGCCTTCATGCTTTCCTTTTTATTCAACAAGCAACTTCTTTTCACTGCAGCAGAAGAAAATGCATACTACAAACATCAAGGCCCTTTTAAGATTAAGAAACAATTCAAACAAAACTCAAACCAGCTGTAAAACCAAAGTATTTCCATGGTCAAAAGTGACTTTCAGATAATGGCAAGCTACATTTAAGCAGTTTTAGATGTTAGCTAGGTCATTAGCCTATAGAAGTTTAAGCTACTTAAAACTTATTTTACCTTTGCTTATATGAGTGAAAACAGTAAATCCCAACACATAGTTATGCTGGAAAAATTGTAGTCTTAACAGTACATTTTGGCTGCATACTGCGTATGAAGACCCTCGTTCCCTACTGCTACAGTTAACAGGGTGACTTTTTCTAGTAGTGCAGTTTTGCTGTGCAGCTTGTTGATTTAAATGGCTCACAACAGGTCAGAGATCTGATGAAGCAGCTTTCCTTCAGTGTGGAATACTACTTTCTCTATATGTGCATTTATTTCTCTATAAGCCAACAGGTTATATAGATCTAGGGTTGTCTTGTTTTGGTTTTTTCTTTTAAAACACACACATCCTCAGTACTGTAATCAATCCATTTAGGCAAGAACAGGAGCTGGATTTGTTCTTTCTAAAGTATAGCTGTTACATTCTTCAGTCATTCTGACACCAGTAAAGGATTTATTTGTGGGCTCTTTATATACCTAACATTTGGGTCCAGTTAGGGTTCTTATTCTTTTCCTTCTGGAAAAAGAATTATAGAGTAACATATTTCACTTAATTCCAGTAGCTACGTACCATCCATCTGAAACGGCAGCTTAGAGAACAGTCAGCAAGCTCACTCCTGGATTCTGTCTATACTAACATATACCATCAGCCATTCAAACCATTAAAACCTGCAGCACAGCTCCAAGAGCAGTTGCAATTATTTAAGCAAGAGTTTACTACTTGTAGCTTAAAACTGCCAAGTCCCATATAGCTGTTCTACAGTAAAGTCAGAAGACACAGATCAAGTACCTCACTGCTCCACGCAGCAAGGAACTTTGGGCAGAAGAAACAGGCTAGTCTTAGACAGAAAGCAACTAGTATTGCTCCTGTCATTATCAAGTATCTGTTGGAAATGTGCTTATTTGTGAGCTTTTGCACTGTTATTGCTATACTGCTGATAAATTTGACTCATTCAAGCTTTCAAGAAGTAGTTTTCTGACACTATCTACATTAGAACTTGTTCCAGCATCAAATCAGTTCACAAGCAATATCTGACTGTACCTTGTGTGGGCTGTGTGTCCACTCCAGGAAGAGCTACCACAGGTTTGGCAATTAGCAACTAAAATATCTGTCCTGAGAGTCTGAAAACACCATTAGTGAGCTATACAAGAAAAGACTGCAGACATCCTAGAACTTTAGTTCTCTGCAATATTTATATGGCACCACAGTACAACTCATAATGGCTGGAGTTTAAGCATCACTGAGTTTGATCATCTATCCTGATTTACAATGCACAGGTGTTTTGTTCCTCCTGCAGGTTAATTTCAGTTAACGTTGAAATATATTCAAGATACAGGGTTTTGTGGACACAAACTACCCTGAAATTTTAAAGACAATTTTGTGCTTAAGACTTCAGGAGAAATATTTTAGTGATTTTGATTTGTGTACCAAGTTTGCATGGATCACCATCTCCCTATCCCTTCACTGTGAAGTCAAACTTTGTGCAGAAAATACCCTCCCTCTTTGTTAATACAAACATGAAATTTTGCTTTTTAAAGTCTTTAACAGCTTCAAATTAGCTATAAGTAACATTCTCAGGGACTTTTGCTACTTTTCACCTTTAGAACCATGAATATTGGAAAGCAGAAGCATTGTTAAAAGAAAACTCATTTAGCTTATTTGCTTTTTGAAGATTGGACTGTTCAAATATACTGCTTCAGTTTTCAGAAGGCAGAGAAGGATTAGCAAAACCAGTTACATAAGTATAATATTTGATAAAAATCAAATATTACTTATCTTTTCAAGTTCAGTCCTGATCTAAAGAGAGCTCCTTTGTTACTTAAACAAGTCAGAGGGCACTCAAACACTGTTTCCCTATTTCAGAGATTTAGGGAGCTTGGAGAAAAAGATTGTAGCAGGTCTTCACTTCTAGCACTCACTGTTTGTCAATTGTGCAGGTCGAGACTTACTTTCTATGAAGCATTGAGAAATGGTGAATATTTGTAATCAATTTACATTGCCTTAAACTACTGCAATAGTCTCATTCATCAAGTCAGAAGTTCTATTTTCCTCGTGTTTTGAAAGGTCTACTCCATCTTAATATAGCAGATTTTCTTTTTTTTATCATGTGCCTTAGTTCACATAAGTTTTTTTAAAAAAGCTAAGACTTACTGACAAGTTCAAAGTAACAGACGTTTTCACCAACCATTTCAAAGTCTAGAAGTCAAGTCCATTATAGTTCATTTAATCCAGACTTGCATCCCTTGAAGAGTGTAAAAAAAACAGGCTACAATGTAAAAAGTTGCAGTACAATAGGACAGTTATTCCAATAAGAGTTTCTGAACAGAATTTGGGACCATCTTCCCCCCCTCCCTTCCCCCCCGCAACTATTCACATTTAAGTTTTACCTCTTTCCATGCTTACATATATTTTGAATAAACAGCTAAAAAGTTGTTCCTCTGTTTTGGCTCAGTGGATCTTCAACGCAGATATTCAAGTATTAAGAAAATGCAGCTGAACAAGGATATGTGTCCTCATAGTATAGTTTACAGAGAAGCACAATATTGACTAGTCTGCAGTATATTCTACCCCAAATCCCCGAAGAAAACTTTTTAACTTTGGGATCTGTAGCCTGCTTCCAGAGCTGGTGAAGATCGTCTACATGTCCATGAGATGTCATCATTTTGTTATAAATGCAGGGATGATATGGAGCCTTTCCTTCCCCAGAAAAAAATACATGATATTGTGGTACAATTCCCATTTTATTGGCACAGAGACCCATGAAAACATCATCTATATAAAGACTTGTATTGAGAGTCAATGAAGCCTCATATACTTTAGCTGCTACATCATTTGATATTACATATGCAGCTCCTGCTGTGTAGTCAGGATAAGAGGGCCACTGGTACATTTCATATGGAACATAGTATTTGCTACTCTTGTCTCTTACGGGAGGGGATCCACGATGGACACGACCAATCCAGAGATCTTGAACACCCATTTGTGCTAGACTTTGGAGATAAGCAACAAGATTTGGCATATGGATAAATATATCATCATCTGCAGACATAATGAACCTGGCATGAGGACAGTAGGCATTCACCCAGCTAAACTGCAAAAGCAATTTAAGAGTAAGATTGTGAAAAGT